AATGTCTCAGAATTCTAAATCCAGAGCCTTCAAAATCTCAGTAGTTAACTTAGTTTTGGGGTCCTGAAATGCATGCTTCATTTAGAAAGTCATATGCTACAGAAAGATGGACTGTGGCTTCTTTTGAAGTCTGTAGAGCTGAATGGTTTAAACAGTTGGCAATCCCAAAGCAAGAATCATTGTCTCTAGTGACTAGAGTTGCTATCAAGTTTGAAAGAAGATAGTGTGATATTTAATTCACATATTTTGTGTGTCTCATAAACCATCTTTTAGGATCCTGAAGCATGTGAGAATAACTTTTGTTTTTATTTATAATGCTAATGATATTCGGAGCTAAAAGCGTCAAAGAAAAAGACAGTCCCCCCATAATGTGGTGTGACAAATATCTCCTAAAACTACTTTACATTATGTTTCTGGTCCCACTTTTTAGATATTCAGCAAGCTTTTAAAGGAAGCCAAAACTCTTAGGTACTTACCCAAATCTTCACTTAGCTCCAGGCCACTTACAGCTCACTTATGTTTAATAGACAACAGGTCCATTAAGTATAATTGTAATCATATCGTCTCTGCTTAACAATAAATGGAAAAGAATGGTTGCCACAAACTTTAATATTCAGAAGGCCTGGGCTATGCTGGCTTTTTACTGGAAGGCTGTGTCCAGCTCTGGGCTCCAAAGGCAGAGAGATTAGGGAGAATTTGGATAGAGTTGATCAAGGCCCTTAGGGAGACCAGGAATATTCAATTCAGAAAAGAAAATAATTCTATCTTGTATTTTAAAAGGTAAAAAACTGAATTTTTATTAAAAAGAATAAATGAAGATTTATTTTAGAATAGAATGGGGAATTTATACTTAAGTTTGGTATAAGAAATTGTATTTTCCAACATTGAAAATTATCAGATCTGAAATTAAAAAGCACTGGTATGTTTCTCTGAAAAATATAAAGTGGAATAAGTCTCAGGGACTTGGATTTGTTTCTATATACATCTGTCATGAACATAATGGTTGTACTAAGTATTTTCTGGATTTGTTTTCCAATTCTATCTTTCTAATACTGGTAGTCAAATACACAGTCTTCTCATAAGTGTACTTATAGATAAGTGATGTTTAAGTAAATCTACAGATGTGAGGAAATGAATGACAGAAAGTGGCTTTGCCATTTATTTCTACCTAGAGAGGATTTACATGTAGGCATTTCTCTAGATAAAAATACAGGAACCAAACCAATTAGCTACAGATATTGCAAGAGTAAAAGCAAAGAGCACACAGTACAATAATAGACAACTGTGCTCTACTATACAGCTTCAGAGAACTTATCACAAAAAGATCCCTAATCGAAAAGGAACTGAATGTGCAGAAAGAGAAGCCATTTGCTACAATGGCCACTCACATTGGTAGCCCCCCCAAAACATTTGAAAATGATAAATATAGGGGTACTTGATGGTTCCCTGCACCCCTATCTCAGGTTTTCAGTATCTTTTTGCTGCCACCTGGCTGTTGAGAGTTATCCTTAGAAGCAAATATATTATTTCTGCTTTTTCCACCACAAAGACACATCTTTGCTATCAAACTTTCTTAGACCCCATAACTTCAATTAAAAATTTTTAGTTCCAGTTCAGACTATTTTGAGTTATACTAATTTATTAATCCATCCCGGAGGTTGTCCTTAACAGGTTAGGTATCTTTTTACATAGTGTTTCGACTGCTGAGAATTCTAGGTTGTTAGAAGAGGACTGATGGGACATTTTGTTGCCCCTAGAATCCAGCCAATCTGATGTCTACCTCAGCTATATGTTTAGATCAGCATAGATAAACTAGCAACAAACAAACAAAAATTTTGAATTTACATGTTGAAATGTCTTCCTATTCTATTTCTCCTATACCAAATACAAACAGAATGCATATACATATTATATGCTATATACATACCTGAATCTAAAATTAAATAATTCTTTCAAATACTCTTACAATTGACTATTTCTGCAAACTCCAATAAAGGGTAAAAAAAAGAAAAAAAGGAAGCTATGTCAAATTTTTTTAAACAATGATTGCAATAAACTGATCTCGTATGAATTGGAAGGATTTAGTAATCATATTTCTATAATGGATAATTTAATTTTCTTTCCTTTATTAATTGAAAATAAAGTTTTACAGGGATTTGAATTTTAAACACCATTAGTGACAGGTGATTCCAAGAACACCCAATTATTTCTTAGGTGATTTCAGTGAATTGATTTTTCATTTTGCCAGTATTTAACCAATTTTTGTTTGTCAAAAAAGCACATTGTTTTTGAGGGCCAGAAGAAACAATTGCTTAAAAAAGGTCATTTAACACTTAACTTTTGTTGTTGCAGTTATTATTTGTTATGCTGTGTTTGATAGGGAGTGTTCAGATGATGTTTAGAACAAAGAGTTGCTGGATAGGGCAGAAATACTCAGAAAGATGAGATTATAAAGATTCTCTTTTTTCTTGTAACACTTTAACTCTTAAACATCACATTCAGAATTGCGTTTTGCAATTGTTAAGATATTCTCATGCTAAACTAACTCTTTTGGTCATTACAACAACCTTGTTAGGTTAAAAAGAAAGGACATTTCAACCCCTATTTTATAGATGAAGAAAAAAAAACTTGGAGATATCCCTTACTCAAGACTCTACCAGGAGCCAAATTTGGTTTTGTTTGGTGTTCTTTTGATGCTGTCGGTTTATTATTTGAATTTTTAGAGTTATTTTCCCAGTAACCATGGTGCTAGTTCATTTTTACTGGGAATATTATAAACTTTGGTGGTGGGGATTGGTGCAAGACCTAATCACTAGACTTAAATCTCTAGATGCCATACACACTGATGCAAGAGATAAACACAGCAAAAGGTAGATCAGTCCTTTGTAGACTATTCTAATTTCCATAAAGGAAGATGAAGTACAGGAAGATAATATTACTAAGATGATATAGTTCTCTGTGAGATGTTATTTGCATCTAATTGTCTCCAACAATGCTTAAAAAACAAAGAGAAGGAGGAAATCAATTAGGGATCTAGGGCAATGTCATCTAGTAATTGGGAGTTCTGATAAGAAAAGGTTTCTAAAGAAAAACTATATCCCATTCCCAGAGATATTTAAATTACTAATCTACTAAAATATGTGGTCCAGACAATAGATTTATTTAAAGTTTGGATTTTCTTGTTTATAAGGCCTGAATGACCAGGCCTTCTCAGTTACAAAGCCTTCACCATATAATGCAAACTACACTTCTCAGGGCAAGCATCAACAGAAACGTATGGGATTCAAAATTAGAATGATCTGAGTTTGTCTCTGGAATCTGTCACTTCTGGTAGAGTAACTTCACAAAACTTACTTCACCACTTAGATAAACACTTTTCTCATTTGTAAAATGGCGTATATAGCCATGGAGCCTTGAGTAAGGGATATCCAAGTTTTTTTCCCCTCATTTATAAAATGGGGATCAAAATGTCTTTTCTTTTTAACTTAATAAGGTCATTGCTTATTAAGTTCAGCTAATTCAAAAAATGGCAGTCAACAAACAATAGTTACTATTTTGACAGGGTTCAAATGAGAGCTATGAAGGTCACATACATGACTTTACTATGGTCAAACAGTAACAATACCTGCAGAATTCTGAGCCACTCTAGGAAGTAGGGCACTAGAAATCAAATTGGGCAGCTCTCTTCCCGGTTGACATGAAAAGGAAAGTTTAAGGACATCACAGAAATGTCTGCCACTGTGAGCAAGGAAGTGATGGAAAATTGCAATAAAATTATATCCAATGACTGGCCCCAGTTGACAGTCACAGAAATCAGAGGATGGGAAAAAAAATTAACTCCATCATTATATATTTATTTATAAAGTATAAGTACATACCATTTATACCTCTTATTCAACCAAATATAAGTAAGCTGACATTTATTCAGATAATATATTTGAAAATAATTATTAAATGCACTATAAAAACAGGATCAAATTATAATTCTTTGTTTTCAGCAGAAATAAGTTAGCTTACTTATTTCCCATCAGCTAAAAATGTCTGCATTTGGGCTCAATGATGAATATTCTATTTGAATTTTATTTTGTATATGTCTCTCTAGTTAGAAAAGAGTCTGAAAAAGCCAAGGACTACTTCATCCTGGTATTCTTAGATCATTCACTATAACCTATTATTAGATGTATTATGTTTCCACTATTCAAACTCTTTTGTCCACCCATTATTGTTTATACCTGCAAAAAAACCAACTTCAGGTTCTTCCTGATTACAAATTAATGCCATGACCCTTCCTAACCTACTTGTATTTCTATAGGCAGCACTTAAATGTAAGATTAAAATCTCCCCACTCAATAAGTAAATAATGTGTGTGTGTTACAAAAATCACATCACCACTACAGATCATAGTCCTTTATCAGGTATAGTAATGCAGTTTTACTTTTTACAAGTAATGGAAAATCACTTCACCTCAACAAATGCATGTGACCTTTCAGAATGGCTCTCAAATGGTCAGTGTTGAAAATTTATCGGGTTACTTGTCAGTTGTATTATTCAGAGATGACATCAGCAGCAAAGCTGCAGCCAGCACTGCTCTATTATTGCCCACCCCATGTCAGTCTTTCATAAATAAAAAACCTACTCTGGAAAGATATACACATCTCTAGGACTATAATTTGAGCTTGGAAACCTAATTAAACAGCATTCCACCAGTCTCATTAGTAAGCACTGAACCAGATTCCATATAAACACCTGAACACATGACAGCCAATGCTAACAAAACACTGCACAGCATTTCATCACCATTGTGTCATTCTTAAGGAAAAGCAAGCTATTAGTTAAAATAATTCCCATAACAATTACTTCCAGTTGTGTTTATGATTCATTTTATAAATTAGCTTGTTAGAGTATTGCTAACTGAAACCCTAAATTGAAATCTTTTGGTGATGACATGCTGTTTGATATTCTTTGAACAATTCTACTATGTTCCATCAGTGTGAAAGACATCATGCTTCTTTACCTGGGGGGTTGTGTTCATTGAGAATCACAAGGGATGCTGGTGTAGGTCTTCTTTTCCTGATCTGTGAAAAACAAAGGCCCAGCCCATGTTAGTGAGAGCCAGACACTGCCCCAGGTTACTCTACAGTTTGCAAAGCCAGCATATCCTCATCTTTTTCCAACATACAAAAGCAGACTTCCAGAGGATACACAGTAGGTGCTTACTGATTTTATTTTGGAATAACAGGAAGTCAGACAGTAGAACTGTCCGATATTAGTATCATCTTCTTTGACAATAGCAACAATGTTTGCAGAAAAAAAAAACAACCCATAATCAAATGATGCAACTGAAAGTTAATTTACAGTGAAGGTACTGGGATGACATGCTTATGTTAATGGCTCTCTTAGAGCCTCATAATAATAGTGATGCTTTCAAGATCCATTACCCTTATCTCTAAATGGGGTAAGAAGAGCTTGGAAGTCTATTTCTAGCAGATATCACAGTTAAATTAACAGCATGAGATTCAAATTTCAATGAATATTGTTAGCTTTTTTATTTTCTAGTAAAATATTTAAAATAAATCAACAAATAAAGAGTGAATATGAATCTTATTAGAATATGTAATCTATTAAAATAAAAGTTTGTTTTTTTATCTAAAGAATTGCAGCAGCATATTATGGTTAGAATTTCTTGATTCTGATATCCTTTATTTCCTTAATATAAGCATTTATGGGTAAATTCCCTAAGTATGTGTCAGTAGTGTAGAGAGTAATATTAACCTGTCCAAGATAGAAGCAGTACCCCATTCAGCATAAATACAGATTCAAAGTTATATTTATCTGGGTTGAGTCTAAATGGATCAACCTAAGATGGTAAAAAAAAAAAAAAATCCTAGGAAGTTATGAGTCTCAGATTTAATAAATATTTTAACGTTTTTTGTATCAAATATTTGGAAAAGGTTTCAGGAATAATTTAGGTTTTAAGGAATGAATGATTAGGTTGACGTCCCTGTACATTGCTTTGCCTTCCCTACATTTGTAACTCAACCACAAAGGATCTTTTAAGTGATGCCACTGCATCAAGAGTCTAAGTGAATCTGAATATGAATGGTGATCTAGAGATAAACCAATATTAGGCAAGGAAAAAACATACAGAAAACTTTAAAATATTATCTGTAATAGCTGAGTAAAACAATTTAAAAATTATACATATACCTACAATTTAAAAATTATACATATACCTATCTATCATATATTAAACATATTATAATGACTGGGTCTACCAAAAAAAATTAAAATTAAATGTTAGGATTAATCTGAATTTATTTTAAGATTTAATGATCCTATTAATAAATCAATCATTTTATATGCTCAATAATGAAGTAAAGTGTTGCTAACTTTAATAATTTTGTAAAAGTTGCTCTAAAGGTAGAAATGTATCTTAATGAGCAAAAAATAACAGATTTATGAATCCAATCATGTATTTCTAATAGTATCATCTCTCCCTAATGGGTTCTAATTTTGTATTAAATGAAGTGCTGCATTTTAGCCAACAGTTCCCCCAAGCAACTCAAATACAAGTAGCTTTAGAAACCAACTGATTTCTTATTTACACATCCTGAATGTCACAAAGTTAGGCTAATTCAAGAGGTAAAGAACCTTTCCATTAATAGCAGGAATATTTCTATTACCTCCTGAACAGGAATTAGTCCAAACCCAATTTTACTCACCTGTTCTGCCGCTTCAGGTGCTATCTGGCTCTGGAATAAAGGCACAGCAAATTGTATCTTTTTGGGACTGTTGGGCTCCATGGTAATGATGAGAATTAGAGATGTGACAAGCTCAGAAAGGCTAACCCCAAGTGGTGTTCGTGCCGTTTCCTCAGGCACATCCACTGAGCCACACAGAGTGCTTCGTAATAAAGCTGTAATTCCAGAGTGCAAGTGAAGATGCAAGGTCTGAGCAACTCCCTTCTTCAACATTCACAGCGATGCCTGGCTTGATGGTTACCCCACCAATCTCTTAGATCCCCTCAGCACAATACAGAAAGGAACACTACGCTAATTGTGTGCCTCTTCACTGATACACATGCCAAGCATTCACTCAGCAGCTAATTGAAAATGCAATGCTAGCCTTGAAGGATCCGCTGCCCTGGGATTTGAAAGAAAGCTCTATCCACTATACATTACTAACCGGCTGCTCAAAAGTGCAATGTAAGCTCCCTCTGAGTATTGCAGGGATGGGCCATTCATTATTGATGAACATCAAGCAGGATGTTTTTAGAGTTGGGGGCAGGGTTTGGGTATGAAATCATTTCATTTCTCTTGTAACAACTTCTAAGCCAGACACCTTCGTTATTTCACACTCGGACACCAAATAGATGAATGGCCATGGAGGACAAGCCACAACCAATAATATCAGCTATATTTATGCTATGAGATCTGGTTAGTTTAGACTGATCATAGAAGGCAGAACATTTGTGGTGTAGTGAGGACAGTACAGCTCTGGGTCTGAGCAGATCTTAGTTCAAGTTCCATCTCCACCATTAACATGTTCCATGGCCACCAGCAAATCCTCCATCAAAAACATGAGAAGATTGGACTTGATGACCTTTACACTCCCATTCTGTTCCAACATTCCATAATTGTAGTTCACAGTTTTCATTAGAGTGGAAAGTATTGGACAGCTAAATTTAGCACACAGCTTGGAAGTCACTGCTACTGCAGTGACCTCTATTTTATTTCCTGGTGGAGCCAGTTATATCCTCTAACTTGGAAGAATACAGTGATGACAGGAAAACAATAGGGGGAACTTAATACTATTCAACAATGTGGTTTGTTGTCAATAGTAGAGATGAATGCAAAGATAGGACTTGAAAAAAGGCATAAAGGGTATAATTTTCAGAATGGATATTGGCTAGTGGTCAGGTAACAGAAGGAGACAGGCATGATCACCACATTAATGTCAAAGGGGAGGCAGCAGTACAACCAGAAGACCTTCACTCACTCAGCTTCTTTTGTGATGAAATCCTGAAAAGCTGTTTTAATGGGGAAGAGGGAAAAAAAACTTGGGTTTTCTACTCTCTTATTTGATAGGTACTATGTGATGAATAACAGATTTTTACATAAGTTTTTGGGTTTATTCAAAATATTTAGACATTGACTACTAATCTAAGTATTTACAGGTGAAGTTTTTTTTTGTTGTTTGTTTGTTTTTTAACTTCTGATTCTGTACCAGGAATTATCTTGATGACTTAAGTATGCAACATTCTCTAGAGAGAATATAGAAAGTAATATGCATTATTCAAGCAGTTTTCTATATGCACTAAGGGAAAAAAGCAAACAAAGATGTGGATGTGAAAGCACTTTTAGGTGGAGAATGGTGCTGACTAGCAAGAAATCTTGTGATGGGTTCATCCTTGTAGTGCCAAAGGGAAATGTATAAATTACATTTTACATAAGAGTTTACAAAAGTTTCCAGAAAGAAAATCTAAATTAATCATTAATACAGTTATTTATCTGAATATATCTTCGAATTATATAAAAGGAAAACAAGGTAATATTTTTAGTGAGGAGTTAATCCAAAATTCCCATGGCATAGTACTTAAGGGCATGTATTTGGCAGCCTTGGGTTCAAACCCTGGCTCTGCCAATTAATACATGCATCAACCTGGGCAGCAAGAAAACTTTCTTCTTGTGAGGTTTAGATGAGTCAATTCTTATAAAGACTGGCATATAATTCCTCAATGAAAGATAGTTATTTTTCTTTCAACTAGATTTTTCTAAAGGTTTAAAGATAAATATTTTCAATCCAAATCACTAAGACTATTTGAAATAATTCTATAGCACCTAGAACAATAGGTTATAAAGTGAAATTCCATGTATGTGTTATGATATAACTACCAATAAAATTATTCTCATGAACCAGTCTATTTTGAATAGTTTGACCATAATAATAGAAACATTATTGTAAAAGGGCCATCTAGACTCTTTAAGCTTCTTGTTCATCTCAAGGCCAACTGCTGTGTATCCTCAGAACTCAGCAGAGTATCTTTGCCTCCAGGAAGATTTTTATTTTATTTTATTTTATTTATGTTTTTGAGATGGAGTCTTACTCCGTTGCTCAGGTTGAAGGGCAGTGGCACACTGGCCACCCCAGCATCGATCTGCTGGGCTCCAGCGATCCTTTTGCCTCAGCCTTCCAAGTAACCAGAACTACAGGTGTGCGCTACCACAGCTGGTCAATTTTTGACTTATTGTAGAGACGAGCTCTTGCCAAGTTGCCCAGGCTGGTCTTGAACCTGCGGGCTCATTCCTCCCCACATCACCTCTTCTGTATTCCCAAAGCACCCAGCAGACCTCTACTTTGAACAATAACTACTTACATGTCTTTTGATTGCTTAGTATTTTGCAACTCCACTTCCTCACGTAGCAAATATTTATTGAGTAGATACTCCAGTCAACCCCATGTCAGCCCTTTTGCTATAGACTAGAAGACAGATTGTGTTCATAGAAGTCATCAGAATCTCTACAGTGGTTAGATGTTCTGACCACAGTAGTTTCATGGTAAAAGATCTTAAGATCATATGGCATATGAGTAAAAGAAAAGAAAGTAGTATGATTATATGGTACTACCAATCAAGAAGTTCTTACATTTCAAATCAGATATCAAGAGAGGATGGATAATCTGGGGTTAGATGTAACTTAAAAGGAAGCTTATCTTTTTCTCCCCACCACCATTTTCTCTCTTTTAATTTAAAAGTAATGGGTTCTATCATTAAAGATTTTTAAAAATTCCTCTAGAGCAAGCAATAACTACAGTCTCTCTCCAAAGGAAATGATACTGTGAGTAAAGACAGTAAAACATTAGGAAAATAGGCCATTAGGCCTTCCTAATTTTCCTTTATAATATCTACCTTACCCAACTTTCCACAGTTCCTCAGGACCAACATACAGGCCACACTTCAACCTACCACTAGTCTTTCTGTATCCTCCTTACTTTTCTGAGAAGATGCCTTAATGTGTCTACTTTTATCAAAATTAGACTCATCATCCAATTCTACCTCCTTGAAATGACATCCTCAGATTCTTCAGACAAGGAGAATCATTTGACTATTTTCCTCTCCTGATATTAAAATAGTATATATAGTTGCATGTTATTCTATAATAACTTCCTATATGTTTCTTTTGCCTGACCCTCTAGACAGCAAATCCTTTCCCATCCTATCTTAAACATAAACAGAAGAATCAAGATGCTCATCTAGTAGTTACTAAATAACTGCAATTAGGCTTCAGCTAGCTAATATCATCAGGAAACATAAGGTGTTCCAATAAACTGAATTTTCCCAATGACTAGTTCATTCTTTCAAGCATCATACCTTTTCTCTTATTTTAATGTTTGAATGGGTATGTAAAGTCTATTAAATATTTTCATGTTTTAAAAACAAGATATGTCAAATACTAATATAATTTGTTCTTTTTATTACTTTGTAGCATACATTTAAATATCAGTGTACTGTGTCATACACAAAAATGCTCTCTGAAGCTGTTAGTATTTCTTGCAACCCTAACTGCCATAGATAAATAGTTTTTAGAGTTTTATTTAATATGAAAATCATCAATCATTGTTTTTACTTGTCATCTAACATATAATAAGTACTTTATTTGCGGAAAGAGGAAAGAGAAGGAAAGAAAATAGAGCAAGGAAGGGAATCGAAGGAAAGGAAATTTTTTGCTAAGAAAATAATGATTTTTACTTATTCATGTGTTTCCTATTCAACACTTTGTTTCAAATAGCTGAATTCATGAATCTTGAAAGACATACAGATTCATGAGATACTACTTTAACAATTAGTTGACTAACTGAATATAATAAAAAGTAAAAGCAATTATATATTAAGCATGCTAACATTAAATGCTGGAAATACAATAATGAATGAACAAAAGTAGACAAGACATGACAGCATTTAAATTTAAATCAGTTGAAAAGATTTTGAGCCCTAATAAATGATTTTGATTTTCAGCCTCCTCTGTTCAACATCTGGATGCTGACAATCATGCTTGAGATGCACTCCCTCTCATGTCCTCCTTCAGTTCCAGCTATAGCTTCATTCTTTTCTTCCATTAAAGAAAATCTATCAGATGAATGGTAGAGCGATAATATTATTGGGGTTCCATAGAATAATCTCATTAACTTTTAATGTAACTTGTGGAAAAACTCCAAAACTTTCATTATTAATATTAACAAATTACTGGTGAACCACCAATACCTGATTGAGACAAATGAGCCTATCTATAAAATGTGGTTGAGTCCCAATAATCTAAATGAAATGGACCACTCTTTCCTAGTACCCATTAAAATTAAATTTCCCCCAGGGAAATTATTAGCCATTTTAACTCCTTCAGAATGTCTTCTAAGTTAATCCATGCCATTATAAATTTTGTATTATTTCAGATCTATACCTATAAGACGCCTTCTCAGACTAAGCTCCTTATATTGGAATCTTTTTTTTTAACTTTAATTTTTTATTTTAAAGACGTGGGGTACAATCAGGGTTATGTATACAATGTTCATTATGCAGGTATCCTTGTTGATGAGGTGCGTCCCCCACTTCCCCAGGCATATTCCCACTACTGCCAATCCCTCCTCCCCCCGACAGTTTCCGGCTGCTGCCAATCTTTTTCTTATAGTATTATGATAGTTGTTCAAGTTTCGCTTATGAGTGAGAACATGTGATACTCAGTTCTTTGTTTCTGTGAAAGATCATTCAGTAATATTGCAATCTTATATTAACATCTGAATTCCCACAGCACTTAAGTATAAAAATGTACTTAAAATCTCTCTCACACTTAAAGGCAAACATTGCAGATTCATTCATTCAACATTTATTTAGTGCCTACTATATTCTTTAAAATTTATTCTCAATTTTTTAGTGATTATATGTTCTCATTTTCAGTAACTTTAACAATTTTTACTTACTTTAGAATCCTCATATTAATTAGTGTAGTGAATATAATATGTACACTGAGCTGAATGAAAGGATTACCACTGTGTTATATAAATACTAGGAGCTCTTTTTTT